CACAGTGGATTGGTTTCCTGTTGTTCGAGATCTGGTTAATATTGGACTTAAAGCTTTTGCTTTTTGTATAGCCACCTCACTCTCCCTGCTAACTATTTCTGTGGGGTGGCTCTTCTACCGCCCACTATGGGCTCTACTGATTGGGTTGCTGTCTGCCGTTCCTATTGTGATTGCAAAATCCCGGGTTCCACCAAAGAAGCATCAGTGAAGATGGAAGAATTCCTTTTTTTCCCTTGCACTTGAATCCTGTTTTTTTAATCCTTTGAAGCCGAGGGCATTTATCATGTTTCAAGCTATTACAACATGCTTAAGGCACATTACAGTTCAGAATCTTGACTCCCTGCACCAGCGAGTCCAGTAGAAGACCAAGATGCAGTTTTTTTATGCTTATACATCCATGAGAAAATGTAACTGTAGAAGCTGCAGTTTGGAGTGGGTGATATTCTGTGTATTTAGAGGAGGAAACAGCATTTGTTACTTAATTATTTACCAATCCTTACTTGTTAAAAGAACAATGGTGTGTGCTATTTACATGGGAATAGGGACAGATTTAATTAAGCAATCCATGATGTGCAATCTCTAGCAGATTTTGTGTGCCTGCCTCTCATTTAACTATTCCCTCTATTTTCTTATGTACACAGAGAAATATACTTATGTTGACAATGTTTTGAAATGCGTGTTCATAGACAATGCTGCTTGCATCTGAGTGAAAGCTGTGTTATGCATTTAATTTGTTTTCAGTAGTTAAAAAGCCATGTATAATGTGTAAGGTTTTCAAAAGTAATTAGTGATTTTGGCTGCTCAACTTGTTACATTTTAAAGGGGCCTGATTTTCAGAAAGCCTTCACCTACTCAGAATCAGAACCCTTTGGGTGCCCAAATGAGACAGCTTCAAGTTGCTAGCATGTCTACCTTGTTTTGTAAAACTTTAAAACTGATTTCAAATTCCTCCTGCTTAAAGGGATAGTCTAATGTCAAAAATCATAACAGCTTGAAACTAAGAACTGATGTAACCTGTAAAACTAGTGTAAACTCCTGTACTTAAAAACTGATGTAATGTTTTCCCATTTATTTCACTTCATTTGGCTAATGAAAGCTGCATCAGAGACAAACTGAGTACTTGTATAAGCTGTAGTGTTTGGATTTAAACACTCTTGCAGGGTTTGCAACTGCCTCATACTTAAACACCTTAATTGAAATTAAATCATTACAAAATTAGTTAATGTTTTGTAAACTTTAGTAACCTAAATGTTCAGCTTTGTCATGTTAGGGGGGGAAGTAACTCCACATTTAACCTCTCACTGATTCATGTTTACATTTTTCTGCTAACCTCTTCTGTATTATTTTAAAAAGTGCATTTGCTTCTAACAACTTGGGGCTGTCTTTCAGCCTGCCTTTTCCTATGCTTCTACTTTTGTAAGCACAACTGATGTTTAAGAATACCTAATTCCATGCACAAAGCGGGAACGTGGCAGCTCACTGACCTCAACCTTGGTTTTCAAAATCGTATCCCTTAAAGTCCAGTTAAGAACTTCAAGAAAGCTTCCTTCCCCTTGCTACAATATTTTACTTGAATATATCTAACAGATGGAGAAGGGGATTTTGCTTGCTTGGGATCTTATACAGGAGAAACTACACCAAAGCTGAGGAATGTGGAAGGCATAGTCCTTAAATCCACTTAACACATACAGGTGACATGTTTAAGGAATCAGGCCATGTGATTTTTAAAATCAATTTCTGTAGGTACTAGATTTATTAGCATTAGTAACTTATCTAACAGCCCAAGGACTATTTAAAAGTTGACTATGAGATGTAGTCATTTTGTACAAGATTCTCAAGGCTTTAGTGATGGGGCAATTTGTGAAAGTGTTTTTTTTTTTTCCACAAAACTATTAAAAATAGAATGGCTTGTAAAACATAACTTTGGACAGTTGCTACTTCTTGAATGAACAATAATCATTGTTAAGTGGTGCCCTTTTATTCCTGTTGGTATCCAGCCAGTGTTGGTTCAGTTTCAAGTCTCTAGGACCCTCTTCTGCTCCCAATGAAGTCAATTGGAACAGGCTCTTAGGCAGGTTGCCTGGATATACAAATAGTCTATTAATAAACGTATGCAGTGTTTGTCTGCTATTTAATCATTGCAGTATATCTTCCAGTACCTCAAATTGTGTTTTTCCTTTTAGGGAACAATGTGTTTAACAATGCTCAGTGGTTTAAGCATTAGCCTGCTAAACGCAGGATTGTGAGTTCAATCCTTGAGGGGGGGCCACTTAGGGATCTGGGGCAAAAATCAGTACTTGGTCTTGCTCATGAAGGTGGGGGCTGGACTCGATGACCTTTTGGGGTCCCTTCCAGTTCTATGAGATAAGTATATCTCCATATATTAAAACTTAAACCCCAACCAGCATTCAGCTACTGTACAATGGAGACTCTTGAAACAGTTTTCTGTCAAAGTGCTGAATTTTTGTATGTTTTATTAAAAAAAGTTTCTCAGATGGTTAAGTGTGTGTTTGGGTTTTGTAACTGGGCTTTGGTGCTAAAGATGCTGTAACCACAGCTGGTCCAAACTCTTCTGGAGACTGTTAAATACAGTGAGATATACAGCTTGCAGACAAACGAGCTCATTACTAAAACTAAACTGAAGAAAAAGGCAACTGTTTAATTGTAGATTTGCATTCAAATATTTCACTAGCAGGAGGCATGTTCATATTAACTGAATTACTAATATCCATGGTAAGGTACTTTATACTAGAGGCAGCATGGTGGAGTGGTTTAAGAGCACTAGAACTTGGAGACAGGGTCTGTTTCCTAGTTTGCCACAGACTTGCTGTGAGGCCTTGAGCAAGTTGCTTAAACCTTGGCATACATTTCCTTATTTAACTGCAGCAACATTTCTATCTCCACCACAACTCTTTGAAAGGCATTATACAATGGAACTAGAACTACTGTAATGGTTCTAGTTCTATTGGATTAAATATTTAAGGGCTTTGGGCTTAATTCTACAATCAGAACAATTTTAAGTATGAATCCCCAATAGCTTACTTTGTACACAAATAACGTGAAGCAAAACTCCATGTAATGGAAGGTGCATTTTCTTTTTAAGCAACATAGCCAGAATTGGTGCTTTCATTGCATCTATACAACCAAGGTTTCTATAGTAACAACTGCAGCAATAAAACTTCTCGTATGCTGGTTGTACAGGCTAGGAACCTCCACCAGTGATACAGTCCAAAATTCAATCTTCCATTTATGCCTAGCTGTCACTCCATTTCAGACCCATTTAAAGCAATGGAAAGATGCCAAAATTTCAGTTAGAGTTGGATTCTGGCCCTTACACTGAAAATGGTTCAGGGTATGAGCATGTCCTCGTATGTATTTGCACAGGAGGAGCCAGACCCTGAAGGGGCCCTCTGGTAATTACTGCAGTATTGTCAAATCTTGCCATACGTAGAGTTTTTCTTGAAGCCTCATCTGCAGTCAAGTAATTACCTGAGAATGTCAGCTTTCATTTAAAAAAAGTTTTTAATCTTTGTTTTTTCATTAAAAAAGCTTAATATGAACCCTAAAAGCTTCAAGAGCAGAATGTAAAGAAACCCAAATTTACATGTTTTGAACACTTAGGACTGGTGATACTGCTGATGTAATACAAAAGTGTGAAAACTAAGCTACCTGAGGTCACTGCTTTTTCCCTTTAATAATTGTTCATTAGGAATACAGATAAATGACCCATAGCAATAAGAGGGACCATACACAAGATTGATCTTTGCAAACACTTTTTTTTCCAAAAATTCAGTATAAAAATATTTTTCTAAATATACATAAGTACTAAAGCTTTTTTTCTTGCATTTTTAGCCTCTCCACTAGGATTACAATGAGTTTGAACTTGTGGCATAAGGCAAGGAAGCAGCAGGCTCTTAACATTACTGTATTCCCACCATAACTAGGAGTTTTCTTAAAGAGAAATTTAGGTCCATTTAAGCCCAACTATAGGTTTTCTAAAAAATAATTACAGTATCATTTCATTTTTTTAAAAAAATCCCATAAAAAGTTTGCATGGATTTAAACATTCCCTTACAGTGTTTAGAATACAAACCCAACACTGTGCTGCAGAGAAAGTGAAACTTGCTATAAACAATGGGTAAGTTTCAAAAGTGCCCAAGTACCACAGACTTTTACTTCTGGCAATGGTGCTCTTGCAAATTTTGCACCACACTAAACGTTCCTTGTCTGCTTTCATTGTCTAAGCTATGCCATATGCAGACAGTGAATAAACATTAAGGGTGACAAGTTAGTTATTTTAGTTTAATGATAAGGTGGTGACAATATAAAAAAATCTTTAAAAAATGCAACATGACAGTGTCCCAAATTATCTCAAGACTTTTCTCTCTAGAAAGGATTATGGAGGCAGGGAAAGTAAAATAAGTCAAAACTACGCTTAAGAAATCTCTGTCCTTTGCAAAACATGTAAATATGAGGGATCTGCCAGGCTCTGAGGTGCTACTTGATTCTTTACATTTCCTCCCTTGTGATGGACTACAAATGTGAATAAAAATCTATTGCACTGCTGATTTGAAACAATATGGGTTAACTACCTATAGCGATAATAGGCCAATAATAGAGTACACAGGGGACTCCTGAATAGCAGCTACACATGCTTCTGTTTGTCAGTAAACAAGACTTGGGGGAAGGAGATCGTGAAAGTGATGCAGAAATAGGTATACTGCAGGGGTGACAATACTTGTCAAAGGGGAAGAACAGCTGCAATGGGTCACTCTTCTCAGAAGGTATACGATAGCTACAAGTCTGTTCCTCAAAACTCCACAAATAAAAAGGTTACCCATGACTGCAAAAAGAAATGATAAATCCAGTTTCATATTTTTAGAGCTCTTAATGCTGGATCAGCGAGAGAGGCTTGAGATTACACTATGGAGAGAGTCCACCTCTGACCACCAGATATGCTTATACACTGGAGGGCTGAAAACACACACCGGCTGGTATGCTCCTGTTGTGATGTATTTTTATCTACTGCCACATCTGCTCTTTGCTCTAATTATATAATTATGACTCATTCAGTCTCAAGTAGACAGCTAGTAGAAAACATCAAACATTTTCTAGCTCTGAAATTATTTACAAGATGGTTTTAAAGAAACCAACCACCTTCGTCCTTGCATCGGGAAATTGAATGCAAAGAGTTTAGCACTCAGTTCTGGTCACAACTTCTCAAAGGGGAACAAGTGCGCTACTTCTCCTTTCTTTTCACGCTTGCTCTTTCTGCCTTTTTTCTCTTTTCTTTGTTCATCCACTTGCCGATTCTGAGGCCAAGAAACAACCACATCTTCGGCTGGAGTCTCTGAACTTGGCTCCCCTTCTTCATCAGAAGAAAATCCAGCTCCTTTCTCCATCATGGAGCCGGATGCCTCACTCTGGAAAAAATAAGCATGAATATTAGGGGCAGACATGCCAAACCCACAAAAAAACCCACAGAAATTGGGTTTGTTTTTGGCTTAATTGGCTTGTGAGTTGTTGTTGGCTAGTTTTTGGCTTGTAGCTTGTTTGGCTTGTAGCTTTTTTTTTTTTTTGATCGGCTCCTGGTAAGGAGCGGGAGAGTATCTGGGATGCAGGCCCACCACAGTCCCACACTGCACCCTGGGGGCGGGGAAATCTAGTCACAGAGTATTGGGGTTCTTAGGGATTGGCTTGTTTGGGCCTTGTTTTGAAATGGGATTAGCTTGATTTTTTGGCTTATTGTGAAAGTCTGGGTGCTTATTTACCACGTGAAGTTGGCAACTGTGGTTAGGTGGTGTTTTTTAAGGGTCCTTTTTTGTCATAATATAGTCTTATCACCATGAAACATGCTGCTGTAGTTAGCAGGAGTTATCTATAACAGACAAGCGGTACATTTTATGTAATTCTCTACACAAAGCAGTATCAGTCCATGTCTCATATGTGCAGCATTAATTCAAGTTCAGAAAGAATATTCACTAGTCAAGAGCCTGTAAGAATAAACCGGCTTTAAAATCTGACTTATCACCAAGCATGAGGAAAAACATATTTAAGGACAGAATCATTTCACTTCATAACCCAAACCAACACAGGTCACTTTGCTCCTCTGAAAACTACATGTGTGGTTTGGACTAAGAAATCCAAAATATGAAGTGGATGTCAGTCAGAAGAATAGGGCCATAATATAAAACCATGTTGCCTGGTTGCGGAGTGCTCATCTGATGTTAAATAGGGATGAGATTTCAACTGACATGATCGAGCTGAATTCTTGTTCAAAACCCAGTATGAGCTCCTATTCAAAGTTAGTGTGAGAAGAGGGGAAGAGAGCTTTGCGTGAAGAGATTTTGGAAGTTCTCTGATGTATCAATTGAAAATTTAAGATTTTGGGTATAAAGCAAGACACGGTCAAACGCTGCTAAAGATTACATGCGTCATCCATCAAATGACTAAGCATGTAGTGATCTTGACCACCAGTAGCTGTGTTGAAAGAGATGTAATTAGGCTGCATTAATAGAGAGGACAGCAATGGTGCTCAGTTAGCTTCATCTGCTATGAGAAGCCCAGAAGTGTTTTCACAGGCTGCAACTAACACATGGAAAGGCCAAAGGGAGCACTAGACAAATTACAATGTTAGATATATTTTAAAATGAATCGAGGAAGCATTTAGTTGGGCTTCTTGCCCCTCCCCACCTTTGACATTCAGAAGGGTCAAAGCCTGCTCACATTAATCATTTGAGCTGTCCCATGAGCAAGAAGAGATTGTAAGAAATGAGAAAGAAAAAAAATTGACTCAAGAATCCAGTGCAAATTCTACTGCTATCATTTTCCTTAGTCTTTACTAGTAGCAGATATACACACAGATTCTTACCTTTCTGCAGTAGCGTTGCTTCAGTCTCTCTCTTATGAGAAGTCCTTTTGCCAGCAATTTCCAGTTCCCCAGTGCTCTCTTCTCTCTTTTCTATGTGCAATTATTATTTCAAAAAAATAAATCCTTAAAGTCAGGAATTCTGATATATTCAGAACCATATAAACAGTCTTTGGTGTTTAAACAAAACAGAAAAATTCTGTATATTAATTTAAATGTATTGCATCACTCCCGAGCATTCACTATTAACCAATCATCATTATATTTTAAGAGGTATCTGTACAGGAATCATTGTATTTATTCCATCATATAACTTTATACCATTTTACTCACTATCAGCAGCCAGTATGGCTTTTTGCAATGTCACATCTCACAAGCCCAGCAGTGTCAGGATTGGCCAGTACTTATATAGGAAGCCCCAAAAGAACATGTCAATAGATGCTGCAGGATATGGGGCATTCATCTCTGAGTCAATACTGAATTGGGCACTTTTCTCAAAGTAAGTACTGAATCAATGCCCCACTAACCAGGACTGCTGGAGGGGCCGTCATTTGGATTAAATATAACACTGATGTCATGGCCATTTATAACTATTTTTGAATGAGCAGGGATGCTGGCCCTCGTTCCCTGGCAAATTCCAACTTGGATAATTATATTGTGCCTAAAATTTAGCCCAGGGTATGGACAGAGTAAAGTGCTTTGGGATCCAGCTGGACAAGTGGTTCTATTGAAATGTAAGATTATGACCACTACACATTTACATTGGCTCAGCTCTGTGTTTAATGCTTGCATAGCCCCCACGTTTGACTGTTACTTTAAATAACTAAGTGAAGGTAACTTATTGTTCAATATAAAAATAAAGACCCTGTGAAAATAATTCTCACCTCCTTTTCCCTCTTTTCTATCTCCGCCTGTTCATTCTTCCAGGCTGCGATGAGCACCTCTTTGTATTCTTCACAGACTATGTAGCCATCAGTACTGAAAAGGAGAATACATTCATCTATCAGTTTATGCACCCGCAAAACAGGCCAAGTGCTAGAGGAAGAAAGGAAGCCAGCCAATACATATTGATGCATCATAGACAGAAGACTACTGAGTATTGACAGAGAAAGCAGAGTATCTCACATGACGCATCTGCAAGGGTGGTTTCCCTACTCTTCCAGAGCAAGAGCAGGCTGCTAATGGAAATGAAAGGACAGGCTGTTGAGCTGAATTCTGTGATATCACGTGCCACAGCTTGCTCTGAGGTGTTCTGCCTCTACAGCAGCTGACAGTGAAAATGGCATGGGATAGCCCCTTAGCATGGAGCACCCACCATGCAGTTTACAAAATCCTCACAAATCAAACAAACCAGAAAGCAGGCACATCACATACACTGGGTGTGAGTAGCCACCGTGAAAATCAAATCCAGTGATGGCTTGAACACAGTCAATGTCCAGTTTCCGTGCCACTCTATGCAGGTTGGGAAGCTTTAGCTGCACACAGCCTATTGGTAACATACAGGGCAGGAAGAGATACACGTTTCCATATTCATTCCGGGGAACCTGTTTTTGAAAAATGAAAATAAAAAGTGAAGCTCATGCTCAGTCAGAAGATGAATGGAAATTTCTCCTCTTATTCAGAAATAGATACAAGTGTCTGCTTAGTTATCCTTATTCTGAATGTCAGATTAGCAACACTCTGGCAACAATTCTTTAATATTCAGGACACAAGCCATATTTTCAGGCATTGGCCTACACTTTGCAACTACACTGACAACCCTGGTTTATGGTTACCATCTGTGCTTCGTAACTAAGGGCTTGAAAATTAAAAATTAAAATTAATCCAGAATATGGTGGGGTGTGAATTTCAAGCAGATTAACGATTTCCAATTTTCTCCATAGGTGGATGCTCTTACACCAGAACAAGAGTGCCTTATTCCAAATTAACTTAATTCACTTCCGAAGTTCATCGAGAATAACTCCCCATGTTTGCAAGCCCTGAATTGCAGGCACAGAACTCCATAATTATTTCCAATCATAAAAATGGAGGCCTACTTAAGATGTGACTAAAATTTGGGCAGTTAACCAATATAATCTACAAATCCCAGAACTCTGGGATCCAGAAGCTGCAGACTGATCTACCTCTAACACATAAAGATGCTCTAGAAAAATAAAGCCTGTGCCTTCATTCCAGATTTTTGCATTCACCCCACACACACCACCCTCTCTTCCCTCCTGCCTACCCTTCCATCCACTGCCACAGGAGGCTGGTACTCCTCTGTCTGCCACAGGCCAAACAGCCCCAAATCGTCTTTCTCCCTGTTTGAAGGCTCTGCCAGTCGTGCTTTCCTTGCCTGGTTGGAAAATCCTTTCACCATCTGTGTAAACACAATGGCTGCATTTGTCACACTTTAGAAACAAACAGACACTAATCAGGGATCTCCGATTTTATTTGGGAGACCGAAAGAGAAGGGTATGGGAGGAAAGGAGCGCTCATTCTATAGCTTTGACATCTGTAACTTATAGCTTATGCTTGATGCACCTAGGCACGTTGTGAGCAAGTTGGGGCCAAATCCTCCAATTCAAGGAAGGATCCTGGAAGGCTCTGAACAGAATCTAACGAGTGCAGTTCTGCTAGGCGGAAGGCCTCCAAACAGGGATGGTCCCTGAGAGTGTGAAGAGCACATAGTGGAGTTCTGGTTAGAGCTGGCGCATGGCTGGCTGATGGATCCACAGCAGCAAGGCATCTCCCTGCAGCCTGGAGAGAAAGAATCCCGCCCCCCAGTGCAAATCTTGTCTGTGTAAAAGGTATAAAAGCAATGACTATTTATCCAGAGAGGGCAGTGCAATGACGTGATTCCAAGCTCCCTTACCTTATAGGGCACTTCCCCAATCCTCACCACTCGAGCTTGCTTCAGCCAGGTGTCCCGGGAGTGCAGTGTGTGCACACAGTCTCTAAAGAGGCCAGAACAAAAGCAACTGTCTACACTCTTTCAATGGATTGCAAAAATACACAGAACTGTCTTGCTGATGTTCAATCGATTTAGCTACCTATATAATTTTTACAATAGGACAAGCATGTATGTCTCACCTGGAATATACTGCCTCTCCTCTGCAGTATCCTAGGATAGCAGCACTCTCAGGATAGATGGCCTCATATTTCAGGATATGCCTCTTCAATGCATAAAGAGGGTGATTTTTGTACTCTCCAATGGCTGTCGGCAGCGGTTGGTCTTGAAGCTTAACTAGAAACTGCATGACCCATGCAAATAATAGTGAATTCAATGGTCTTTTGCACCAGCATTTTACAAAAAGAAGAAAGATTGTATTATAAACTTGATCCCAAAAAGAATCAGAAACCCATACAAAAGCAGGTAATCCAAATGACCAAAGGCATCCCTGGTGTATCTCCTTTGGTGTTGATGGAATTACACCACAGATGAACTTGGTCCAAAGTGTTTAACGACAAGGGCAATGCTGTTCTATGCGACAAATTACAAATGGGTCTGTCCTCTGCATTTGTTCTCTCCTAAACAGCCTCCTTTTTATTTTATTTCTTGTAACTAACATATATATGTTCCCCTTAGTGATCCCAGATTTAAAACACCCACATATGAATACAGCAAATATTCTGGCACCAAATCCCAGCATCCCTTCTCAGGGAAAATCTCCCAGGGAGTTTTGCCAGATTCAGGATGTCAGGATTTGGCTCTTGGTATGAAATGACCCGAATATCTGGTGTTCATTTACCTCCCTTTCTTCCTTCTTCTCTCTTTCCACAAAGGGGCTTCTATATGGTTCCATCGTGTCTTCCCACCACTGGGGATCCACACGACATTTCCTTGTCGAAGTCATCCATGCTGGGTCGTACCTTTGTGTTACGTCCTTTACGTGCCCGTTGCTGTCAATCCCCACAATATAGGAAACTGGCTTGGTGGCATATTTGAAACACATAGAGGGCTGGCCAACGATGCCACGAACGCAGTCCACACACACCCACCTGTCTTCCCGCTCAACAAAGATTTCCAACCACTGATCTGTGCCTGTCACTTTCACCACCTCCTGCTCCCCATCATCGTCACTAGATATGATTTTGTTCCTCTTCCTGGGTGTATTAGAAGAGCCTGGAGAAGCTGCTTTTGCCAGCAATTGCTCATTTCCATCTGAATTCTTGGGCCCCTTTGATTCCAGAGACCTGTTTTTCCTGCTGTTTTCAACCGCTAACCTTGCTTTATGGGGCCCCGATGATCTTTTCTGCTTCTTAGACACAGTTTCAAAATCCTCATCAGAGAAATGACTGTCCTCCTCCTCCGAAGCCTCAAACTCAGAATCACTGCCCTCATCACTTCCACTCTCCTCTTTGTAAGACACTTTCAAGGTCACTCTTCGTCGGCAATTGTTTCTGGGCCTGTGTGCTCCTTCCTCTTCCCCCAGGTTGCTTTCATCATCACTGGATTCCTTTTGTTCCTGGCAATCCTTGATCACCTTTGACTTACTTTTCCTTTTGGTTCCAGAGGTGTTTGATTCCTTGTCAGCTCCTTCACTCCCTGATAGAGTCTCCTGTTGCTTGGCTCCTTTGCAGGAGCTTTTTCTTGATGGAGCCTTAGGTTTTTTGGCAGAGTGCTTCTTGCAGGAGCTCTTGCCCTGAAAACAAAAGAGGCGATCTTGATTTTTCTAGAGTAAATAACTCCAACTTCTACTAACTGGGGTAGGTGGAAGCGGAACAAAGCTTTGTGAGTACAGTACACTGCTGTTAATATGCAGGTTTTAGGGAACCATAAGTCAAACAGCTGGGGAGGGCCATTTGTGAGCTTCAAGAGGCTGTACTCTGTGTTCCTAACCCCAGAGAAGAAAACACTGGCTAGATACACGGGCTGGCTGGCTTTAAAGGATCTGAGCTTCTTAATTAGTCTCCATCACAGATGTCAGAGATGGAAAAAACCTATTCAATCATTCAGTCCAACTCTAGTGTTTCATCCAGCCTAGTTTTAAAAGTCCCAAGCAACTTGGTCTCCAAAGAAAAGTGGTGGAAGACATTCTACAGCTTAAATCCTTGTCTCAATCGCACCAGTTCAACTTGAGGTGTGGCTTTAAACTGATTTAATTTATACTGGTGCAAAGGCTGTGTGGACACTCTTACTTCAGTTTAAACCTGGCTTATTTCTATTCATCTTAATTTGAATAGAAACATGTATAAGCTAAACTGAAATAAGACATTCAAACCAAAATAAGAGTGTCCACACAGCCTTTACTGTTAGCTAAATCAGTTTAACATCACACCTTAAGGTAAACCCTGGCAACTCTGCCCTAATACAACTCATTGTCAAAGATTTTTCTGATATTCAGCCTAATTTTTTCTTCTTCATTAACATCATGTGACTCCAAACGATCATCCTCTGGGCCAGAGTGTGGACCCCTAAAATAGTCAATTCCTTTCTTTCACAATCCCAATGAACCCTACCTTTCCCGCTGGCTCTTTCAGGGGAATGGGTCGCAGAGACAGCACAAGCCGGCACAGCAACTGTAACGCTCGTAGAATAAGTAAAAACATCTATTTAAGAAAAAAGAAAAGACTTGAGTTTGGGGGTGGAGGGTGGGGAGAGGGGGTTGGTTTTTTTAAGTATAAACAGCCAGCTTAAAACCACATTGGAGCCAGATTTTAACCCAAAAGTGAGTTTCATCCAGATCTTTCAATGTGTGCTGATAAAGATTCATTTCTGGTAATTACACTGAGCCCATTACCACAACGTCAATGTCTCACAATATATGTGTTTATACTCATGTTATAGATGGGGAACAGAGGCACAAAGAGGTTAAATAACTTGCCCAAGATTATAAAGGAAGTCTGTGGTGGAGCAGGGCCTTGCACCCTGTTCTCCCAGGTCCTAGTCTAGTGCTCCAAAACTGAACCGTTGTTCCTCATTCCTGAGGTAAACGGAGCTAAAGAAGACAGAGTGGCACCTCTTTCAAGGACGGATTGAGTAAATTATGTATGCTAACAAGATGTTACTCTACAGAAACATCTGCCATTCATGTGGACACTGCAATGGTAATTTAGTAACTGTAACCTAGTATCAGTGGTGACCCGCTGACTGTTTTGTTATGTGGGAGTTCAGCAGAAATGGGCAAGAACAGATAAATTCAAACCAGAAGCGTTCAAACTTAGGCATGGTTCACTTTGTCTGTGCTCCTCTCCCGCCAATGTATGCAAGCAGGATTCCTCAGTTCCTAGCTAGAGGTACTTCTACATCTCCAGCCACAGCGAAGACATTCTACAACTAGACCAAGGCTGCAGTTTCCCAGGTTTCCAAGGACCATGATGGACTTGTGGGCAGAATGCCTGCAAAATGGCAGTTCACGTGCTGCTCTCCCAAAGAATGGGAAACCTTCCCTCAATGTTCAGTTTTATACTCATGAATTATTTTTCTTTAACCAGCAACCCCTATGTGAACTGGAAAGACATGACTCTAGTTTGCCCCCCTACCCCAGTTCCAAAGTCACAGGCTGATTTATTGCCAGATGCCTTAAAAAACAGTTGTCAGTTAAAGCCTTCAGGCTGCTCTAAATCACACCTGGCTGCCTTGGCCTCAAGGGGTCATTCTGACTGCTGAGGATTGCCTCAATGCAGTGACACCTTGATCACAACTCTTTTTTCAGGTAAACCCCTTAAACCAGGGACCAAGAAGGGGCTGTGTGACCCCAGGAATCGCTTTACAAAAGAGGAATCCTTCGGGAGCTGGTTAATTTGTCTCTGTAGTTGCTTTGCACTGCCAGAGCAGACTCGGGGGTAATGATTTTGAACAAATGCACATACTTATCTGTGAAGCCACCAGCATCAGGACCAATTACACATTAACCCACTTGGATATTGCCTAGAACAGAGGGTCAAAATCACCAGGCCTTCAGTTGGGTACAGCTTAGAACCAGGGCCTAATCACAGCAGAACCCCAGTGGGTGCTTGTTCAGGTTATAAGGCACATATGTCATTCAAAGCACAGAGGCTACGTTCAAAACAGAAAAAAATAAAGAGAAAGCCGAGGCCCAGAGATGATCTATCAGTTTTCTTCAAATCCAGCCCCACCCCTTGAGCCTAACCTGCGACCTCTACAGCAGCAATACTGCCCCAGTGATCTGGCATCCAAACCCAGCAAGCAACCTCGGGAGCTTCCAGACTTCAAGTCACTCACATGGACCAACTCTTCATCATCTCTTGCAGCGTAGATGGCGAAGCGTCTCTCTAAAGTGGACTGCAGGCTCTCTCGATCATCAACAGAGAGTTCAGTGTTGATAGTGAAGGTTGCAACAAACCTTGAAGAATGACAAATTCACCTTAGTGTTCAGTTTAATGAATAACTTCTTCATAGTTCACCCCCCCTTAAAAAAAAAAGGGGGGGGGGCGGATTTTCCCCAAACTAGTATTTAACAAGATAAATCACTTGAGCTTGGGTGACTACACTCATCAACCTTGATCTCTCTCCTTGTGCTGCATCAAAAATTAACATGAGAGAGCTGGATTATAAGGGAGATTCTTACCATTTCACCAAGTTGGAGAGGTAGAGAAGGTCTACACGACCTGCAGGCACTTTAGTGAAGTGGGTGGGGATGATGGAAAGGCCAATAGCCTGAAGATCTGGCTGGTTGCAGACCCTGTTCCTATAGAAACCATTTGCTAGCAAACATAGTAGGTGAACCTGGAGGAGATAGAAAATAGGTTTTAAGATTGAAACAGCCAGTGTTTTTGGTACAGTTAATGACTTTACTCCTCCATCAACAGCCAGGGATAGGGCAAATACAAAGGCTCTTCAGCTAATACAACAAGCCATATTAATTCAGGTGCAACACCATTACAGTTAACATACCAGCATGAATCTGACCCGATAGCTATATGAGGAAGGAGATGCCAAGATTCTCAAAGGAGTTGTGGCCATGTAAGCCAGAGGAGAACGTGGCCTTTTGTGACTACAATTTCTGTAGCCTCCGTTGGAACAGCATAAATTCTGTCTTTCAAATGATCAGTTCTAAGATCTTTGTTTCAATTCCCTCTCCATGACACAATTATTAGGGAAGTGAAATAACGATAGCTAAAATAGGAGGAGCAGATTTTAAACTATACCTGAAATTAATGCAAAATGAAATGCCAGTTAAGTTCCCTTTTTGACAGCCATGCATCCATCTACCATCTGGAAACACTGATGAGCTTTGATTTAAACACTTCCCATCGTTTGTTTTCTAGGACTAGGCACAAAACAGATACAAAACCAACTTTGTGTCTTGTTCATTTGAAACAACTGTCATTGCTTCACCTGAGAGCAGAAGCAATATTCAGTTCCAAAGACAATTTCAATGTCAAAAGCTAGTCCTTATTTTAAATACTTTTCATTGTACTGGATTTCCCACCCTTTTCCCATAGCCAGTACGGAAACAGAAGCTGGAAGGAGATCCGCCAATAACAAAACAATGATAAAATCATGTACATATGCCTTCCTAATTTAACTCAATGTATCTAGGTACTTATCTGGCTACCTTCACCATACCTGTGCACTACACAATAATGAGTTTATTCTTGCAACACTCTAGTGAAGTAGGAAAGTCATATCCTTGGATCTAGGAATAGGGACCTGAGGCATAGAGGAAATCTGTGTCAAAACAGAAATTGAACCCAGATCTCCTGAGCCCCAGTGCCTTGAACACAAGGCCATCTTACCCTTCAGTGCTCCAGAGGAAGGTGATAAAGGCCCTGATCCTCAAAGGTATGCAAGTACTTAACTCCCATTGATGTAAATAGAAGTTAGGTGCCTACATACCTTTGAGGATCTGGATCAAAATCCCTTTGGTGCTCATCAGTATCGCCAGCCCCAAATGGGATGAACAGTTTAACTCCACGAATATGAGCAGGAATCACCCCAGTTCAGTAGCTAATCCTATATACACCACTGACATCTATTTTGTTCCTGAATTCCAGTAATGCAGATTGTCCAAGCGGCAGGGCATTCCAAATGATGGTCAGAGAGAAACCTGTATGTGAATTTGATTGGAACTTTGCTTTCCTTTTTCCTTTTAATTTCTAGGCATGTCCATGGATCATACAGATTAGAATTGGCTCCAAATGTCATTGTGCCTTTTCAATCACATACCACAACTGTTCTGAAGTCTTCATGATCTGTACCCTCTCTGCCATGTTGCTTCTGTGACCCTCACCTTATGCGTATCTTCATGAACCGCCTTGCTGAAGCGTTTCATCATTCTCCGGAGATAAGTCTCAAACTCGGCTTTCCTTTTCTCTCTGCAAAGTGTTATAAAATAAATGAATGCTGTAATGCCCTATGGACCTACCATTCCAGGTTTCTGACCAGGACTCTGAATAAATCAAAAAAAATGTGTCAGAGAACCAATTCCAGGTTTTACACGGAGACCCGTGCATGCTTTGGGAGAATTCAGTCAATTCTATGCAAACAGTCATGAGGTGCAGATGTGATTAAAAAACCGTGAGCTCTACCTACCTCACTACTGAAACTTAGTGCCTTAATTTAAAGAGCTGTCAGTGTAAGGGGGTACAGCAAACTAACAATAAAAAATACTTAGTACTTATTTAGCACTTTTCATTAACTAACTAACTACTCATTTCTCCCAATACCCATGTGAATTAGGAAAGAAAAATTCAGCATACAGGTAACAAGATTCTACCTGTAACTAGTATTCATAGATCTATAAGACCAGATGTAAATTCTTAGCCTGGCTACCCAAATTTGTGACAGGATCTAAGAGGGCTGTTCCTAACTGAATTTACTGACGGGGTACTACTATATTAAAAAAAAAATCTTATGGAAATGGGAAAAGACAAAGGAGATATATACCAGGGGTGGCCAACCTCTGGCTCCGGAGCCACGTGGCTCTTCAGAAGTTAATATGCGGCTCCTTGTATAGGCACTGACTCTGGGGCTGGAGCTACAGGCGCCAACTTTCCAATGTGCCGGGGGATGCTCATTGCTCAACCCCGGCTCTGCCACAGGTCCTGCCCTCACTCCACCCTTCCGGTACCCTCCCCGGAGTCTGCAGTGCCCTCGCTCCTCCCCCGCAGAGCCTCCTGCACACCACAGAACAGCTGATCGGAAGGTGCGGGGAGGGAGCGGGAGGCGCTGGGAGCTGCCAGTGGGTGGGAGGCGCTAGGAGCGGGAGTAAGTGATGGGGGGCTGCTGACGTATTACTGTGGCTCTTTGGCAATGTACATTTGTAAATTCTGGCTCCTTCTCAGGCTCAGGTTGGCCACCCCTGATATATACAGTTATAGTACTGTATAATTACATTACAACAGCCACAGATCTCAAACCGCTTTACAAAAGTATCCTTATCCCTATTTTACACATGGGGACACACAAAGGCACAGTAAAGTTAAGGGCTTGATTTTTCTAAGGTGCTGTGCACCCTGAGTTCCCATTGACTTCAGTTCAAGTTTTGGATGCTCAGCACATCTAAAGATCAGGGGACAGATCCTCAGATGGTCTAAATGGTCATAACTCCAGTGACTTCAAGTCACTGGAGCTATGACCATTTACTTACCCCAGCTGATGATAAAGTCATACAGCCAGACAGTGACCAGAGTTGGAACCTGAGAGGTCTCCCAACTCCTGCCCCTCCTGCTCTACCCACTGGCCTATGCTGCCTCCCCTGTATAACTGATCTTACCTTCTCTCTCTCTTCTTTGCCTGCTCTGGAGTTTCAATTTCTATCTCAACTGGTTTGCTGGGCAACATCAGTGCAGGAAGGGCAGCAGCTTCTCCTGACTTATCCAGGACAGGATCTTCGAGCTCTGGAAATGTAAAGTTAAAATTAATACCCATGGAATCAATGGCCCTGGGGAGTCTCTCCTCTCAAGTTCATCTGTTCAAACATAGCCAAAGTTAGACTGCCAAAAGTCGCTGCCATTTGGTGTCTTTTCAGTAACCTATGTTAAATGAGCGGATATTCTGTATCTAAGGTATTCATGGAATGCCAGTCGCTTTAGTATCAAGGTATTGACTCAGTCCAGTTTCTAGCAGACAGGTCTCCCTTTCACTACACTACCATCACAGTCACATCACTTTAGCAAAAAGTCGAAAGAACAAATAATTACTTCCGAAGTGGGTTGAGGAACATTGGTGGAGCAGCATAAGGGAAGCTTTGCATTGCTATGGGCCATGCTGCGTTCATTGTGGGGACAAAGCACTTGGGTTTCAGATCTGTCTCTATGGCACCTTACAGGAACACTACATGTAGACAGTTATTTGTAAAATAATCTTCATTAATATTTTTGTGGACTGGGTGCTCCACATTAGGTAGGAGCTGAGAATGCAGCCTTCTCTACAGCACTGCAGCCCTATTTAAAGTAACATGTTCTGGGACTCTACCATGTGTCCTGTGGTAGAGAGATATTATTACGTACGGTAACAATGTCAAAATTCTACCATAGCCTTGGTATTCTCGACTTCACCCTCTGGCTTTTGGAGCTCCTCTTCCCTTGCTGCCTTAGTCTTAGTGAAAGATTTAGCCTGAATGTATCAGTTCAAAAGGACTGGCAAGACTCAGGAGTGTTTTTAAGTAGGGAGTTCACTTCAGTAGGCATACATTTACAGCTACAATACAATTCTGGTCTTCACAGCCTGGTTTGATGGCCAACTAACTGGTATCTGACTGAATGACTTAACTTGCCCAGTCCCCATCTCTAGGAAATCACAGTCTGATTCTTCTGTTGGACTCATTCTAAGCTTCTCTCGGCATAAGGTGATATTTCATATTTACAAATAGTTCAGAGTGCCACATATTGGGTAGCAGCATTGCTACACATGTTAATAGGTATCAGGTGCATAAAGATGCAGAGCTGTTCTGCTCACAGACACTGGCAGCCAAACTAGGTGGGTCTTAGTAACACCAACTACCATACATAAAAGGGTCCCTACTGTCTTTCTGAGGCAGACTGAATGAGGGCCAAGACAGAGGTTCTGCAGGGAGCAATCCTAAACTCAGGGGCAAATTCTGCTAGGAACCTTGTGTTATTTAAGTAAGCAGTAAAGGAAATTCCAGAAAAGGGGTAAGGCTGCCCCTTTATCCACTGTTTGTGCATGAATAATATGAGGCTAAAATGCCACCTGCTGGTAAGTATATTGATTTTAGTTTGGACCCATCTTTAAACACCCATGAACACTGGGATGTTCAAAATCTTGATCTGTATATTAGATTAGATCCTTTATAAATATTTATATAAGAGATTCAATAAAAAAAATCTATAGCTGTAATAGTGACTGTAGAAACTATCTGAATCCAAGAGAGGTTGCACCAAAATCAAATAAATCATCACGGAGAACAGTATATGACAATATTTAGAGCAGAATAGTTGATAAGGCCACTGTAAAAGACTGTTACCTTCCACATCCTCCCACTCATCCTCACTTCCATCTCCATCATCATCATCTTCATCCATTTCTTTTTTAATAGTTGATTGTCTCTTCAAAGTCATCTCCTTCTGAGAGGGGCTCGGTAAAGCACTATAAAGATTACAAAAGACAACAAAAAAAGGCTTTAAGAGTTGCAGTGTGTAGTTTGCTAGTTTGTTTAAAAATTGGAGGAAAACAACATTAAAATAGAAAAACAAATACAATGTATCTGTATTAAAAATAACAGCTGCAAAGCCTTAAAATATTTGACAAGCAAAGCACAAATGCAAAGAATGTATCTGTACTTGTAAAGTAAAACATCTCTGCCATAAATAGAGGGAGAACAGTAAATATGGGGAAATATTCTTCCCAGTGCAGTATGTAATGTTAGGTCCCCATCTTGTAAGGATCTTCATGGAGATGGATACCTGCACCCTCAAAAGATCCCAGGGAAATCAACGGGGCTCTACATAGATGCAGAGGTTCTGTCTCCATATAACATTTTGCAGGATCATGGCCTTACTGAATTCATGCACTGAACTGTTAACCTTGCTGAAGCCTCATCAGTATAAAAAGAATAGGAATTAGAACGGTGTCTGTTTTGCTATTTTAGTAAATTTTGTTCAGGTTGGCCAGTGAAACAAGACTGATCAGTTTCACTTCCTGCTATTAGTCCATACAAAAGCTTCTATTGACATTTTTAAATACAAAATGTCATAGAATCATAGAAGTGTAGGACTGGAAGGGACCTCAATAGGTCATCTAGTCCAGTCCCCTGCACAGAAGGCAGGATTATTACTTCCTTTGTTGCAGTTTAAGCCCATTTCTTCTTGTCATAGGTTACATTCCTCCTCCCTACCCTCATTTAAAGACAAACAAACCTGAATTTTTGACCTAAATTACTTGACAACTTCCATATAAAATTACAATTATTTGCACTAAAACTTGGAAATGTCTCAAATATTAGCTTTCCACCCAAAATGAATTCCAACAGCCTGATCCTGCAAACAACCATGCACCTGAATAATTATGCTCAAGTGCATATTGGAACTATGAGGTTATAGTGTGAGTAAAGGAACCTGTGCGTATGTGCAAAATCAGGCTCTAACTAAACACATTTAACAGTGAATACAATATTGTTCCAGACTGTTATGCTGATGCTGTAGATTAACTTACCTGCACATTTCCCCTTTGTTACGATTCCCTTTGTTTTTTACATCTATGTTATTTTCCTCTTTCGCTACTGATTTTGCTCCTTTTTGCCTTGAAGATCTACCTGGTAGGCTATGAACTTCAGTGTCACAATCTCCTTTCTTCTTCTTATTTCTACCAGAAACTTTTGAGAGATTCTTCTTCATACTGGGCTTTTCCTCTTCAAAATCATCTGCAATGGATCAGAGGGGAAAAATACATGTCAAAGAGTGAAATCCTAGCTCCACAGAACTCAGTCAATAATAATAAAACTCCCAACAACTTCAAGGGAGCCAGCATATCACTCACAGGCTGCAGGGAAAAATGAAGGCTTAAAATGAACATACTGCCTATGAGAATATTTTCATAACAAATGTGAAGTGTTTTCCAAAAAGTACATTTGAAGCAAAACCCCCATCAGGGAAATTTGGCAGCCCAAAATACACAAGATAGACAATACCTACCCTCACCTTTGATGGTGGATGAAAAACAAATATTGTAATCACCTATTGCAAAAGGCTTTTTTCCCCAGACAAGTGGAATTTAGCAAGACTGATTTAAAGCACCTCTTTTCTGAAGATTCTCCCGTAACAATAGCAAGACGCTTTCCTCATCACACCTGGGTGAAACCACTGTGCCCACTGTGATGGGTGCATTATACACAAATGAGATTGGATTGATGGGCACAATCCCCTCATGCAATGTGCCAGGTTTTCCTCCTTTTTTAGAATATGGCATGGTTCCACAGAATTTATTTTATTTGGTATCCAGTATATAGGAATAGTTATTTCATATCTATAAGTGGTTTCCAAATCCACTCTATGTAAGGAAAAAAATGCCAGTTACCTAATCCCTTATGGGTTATTCCATGTTCCAGGGAGGCTGCTGGTGTCCAAGTGACATACACACTGTTCCTGAAAACACTCACATATACAAGTTACTCTACTCATGCATGTAGCCCCTTTGAAGTCAATGCATGAGTAATAGGGCTATTTGCATGAAGGCACTTACGTGCTTAACTGTTTGCAGGATCAGGCCCACAGATCAATGTATTCTGGGTCAGTATAGCAGAGAAACACCAGCCGATGTAATTTTGAAGGAGCTGATTTTCCCCCCCCCAAACGCTAAGTTTGCAATAATTTACTAGCTGAATATTCCGCTGCCTGTGGCTATCTGACATTCAGCTCATTACTTTGTAATGATCCCACTTTGAGGAAAGCTTTGAAGGTCACTTTTAAGATCCTCTGCATGTATAGAGGTAGCTGCAGGATTAGGACCTAATTTTTATTTCCTAATAAGTAGAGATTATCGGTTATAAAATTACAGCTTCTGGAAGTCTGAGAGAAGCAAGAAAACTAGAGAGATCTCTGTTGACTCTGTTTATCAATTTTACTGAAACAAGCTTTCTTATTTCAAGTCAGTACATATACGACCAAGCAATTGCAAACCAGTGCAATTGTAAATATATATCAGAAGCAGAGTTGCCAACTCTTATGATTTTATTGCAAGTCTTGCAGTATCTGCTGTTCAAGGCACAGCAGAACTCACAACACCGGAGGGAGGATGAGGGGGGTCTAAGGTGCCACCTTTGCACCCTCTTCATACTGGACTGCTATGGAAGCTAGAACGACCCCTAGCATAACATAGGCAGCCAAGCAAAACTTGAAAATGTGACCCAAGTGTATGATAAATAATAAATAACAACACTTCAGAAGGCAAACAAAACGACCTTCTTATGTTTTTACAGTCTCATGATTTTTAAGCCAATACCATGCATTCTGGGGGCCTGAGTCATGGTTTTGAACATGTGGAGTTGGCAATACTGCAATGGTTGGTGGGCATCCACAATGGACCGAATTCTGAGACCAGTAATATTGGTTCAAATTCAACGAAATTTTTAAAAAGCAACCTTGAGAGAAAATTTACTGAGGAGAGAGGCTTTTGTACTTTAAACATTCCATTAAAAAAAAAAAAAAAAAAAAAAGGCCCCAATCCTGTGAACTGCTCTGTAACACCACACTCCTGGGCCCACAGAGTAGCCTCCTGTCTTTCATAGGGTTTTACATAGACACCAGGGTCCAATAACATTCTATCAAGGCCTACACTGATTCCAAAACCATAATTTCTTAAATGGTGAGTTTATGAGAGGCCTGATTTTCTGAAAAAAGAACATACAGACTAACACGGCTGCTACTCTGAAATCTGATTTTCTGAGGCTCTTTGGGTATCCTCAACTCTCACTGAACAGGAGTTAAAGGTGCTGAGCACTTTGAAGGACCAAATCCAATGTGTTGGACAGAGCAGTCACAAAAAAGCAGGACACTACTCTGTGAAAATTTAGGGCCTCTCTCACAAGTTAAGGAATGATACAGACTGCTTGGAACTCTCACCACATCATCTTCTACACCAGTGGTTCTCAGACTATTGTACTGGTGACCCCTTTCACATAGCAAGCCTCTGAGTGTGACCCCCCCTTATAAATTAAGAACACTTGTTTATATATTTAACATTATTATAAATGCTGGAGGCAAAGCGGGATTTGGGGTGGAGGCTGACAGCTCGCAACCTCCCCATGTAATAACCTTGCGACCCCCTGAGTGGTCCCAACCCCCAGTTTGAGAACCCCTGTTCTACACCTATGTGAAATCCAGAGAGAAATAATACGCACAGAAGATGTGGTGAAGGAACAGAAGATACCATAATAGAATATTAATTATGAGCCTGAGTGTTGGACGCACAAGAAATATAGGATCAGGCCTTAAGAGTTTATAGTGTTTTTTTCAGTTAGCCTTTTCCACAAGCAGATGTACAATCAAATTCTATTATTTACATTAAGAATGGCCTGAATTCCATGCTTATATTTTACACAGAGGATAATGCCCTAAAGATCTGTTGAAATGACATGCACTTACTAAAAGCCACCAGCCGCAATCCACCCTAGAACCTTTCATTCTTCTTAGCTGCCAGACCAATTCATTTGATCCTGCCCTCTTTCATTATGACAAAGGAAAGGTTTAGAAATCTTGGATTGTCTACTGACAGCACTGAGAACGTCTCTCAATTCTAGAGAGGAAACTATCTTGCTTATGTAACATCTGTACAATTTAAATGAGGCATACAAAAAAAACTAAATCAGTCATGATCATATGATTACATATTGTATAAGGGACAACATATCAGCAGATGGAGTTAAACACAAACACTACATTATTTAGTGGCTATGAAAACAGATTGTGTTTTTAAAGGGGTATATCTGCTGTTTAATATTCCAAACGCTCTATTAAGCTTTAAACAGAAAAATAGAGACAAAAACAATTCTAAATAAACTTTTACTTTTTTTTTTTTAAACTCCTATAAAAACCCTACAGGAAAACTGAAGTCACCGAATGAATGCAGCTAGAAATGAACACTAAGGGGGGAAATCTGGTTGGTTCTTCACAATCTAATTAGAAATGCACTTTGGACAGCAGGCCAGAGGCTTGCAAAAACAGTAACATTTAAATGAGGGGAAAGTCCAAAACATCAAGTAAGATTTTAAATGTCCTATAGAAATATGGTACAAAAAAATCCTTCATCAGCACAGACAGAGCATTTAAAAGTCATTTTTAAAGTAATTCCAAAGGAGCATGTTGGGGGAAGGGGAAATCTCCCTGACTCCGTCCAAATGAATCTCCCTCCCCCAATCTGCAATCTGGTGCCAGGGGCTGCTTCTCCTTGATTTTATAGTCTCCGTGATGCTTATGCAACTGCTTGTAACAGACTGTGGCCCAAGAAAGAGTCTATTTCTACACTCACCCTC